ATAATCTTTTTTTATTGACACATAATACTCTTTTTACCCTGGCTTTTTAATTATTTTATTTTTATTGGTTTTAAAAAAAAACTGAAAACCCCTGGAAGTTTCCTGCATTTAAAGAAATCCAAGGTGGGGATTGTGGGGATATTTATGGGATAATAATAGTAAACAGTTGAGAATTGCCCACTAATTCAATTCTCAGATCCCAAAGAACGTTTATCGTAAGTGAAAGTATTTCATATAATTAAAATCACAATGTATAAAAATAGATTTTTATTTATATGACAAATTAATTAATAATAATATTATGCAACATGCATGACAATAATTAATGAATATTCAGTATAAAATGATATGCAATACAAAGGAATGGCTATCCACATTTCAATGGCTAAATAGCATTTCCTGTCAAGAATTCTGACGATTTATGAGGTATCCTCACAGACTGAAAAAGTTTCACTCAGAGAACAGAATTCTTCAGAGTGCAGCGTAAGGTCGTAAAGTTTAGCTGACAGTTAGAATAACCCTTTCAATGCTGGCTAGATCTCCTAGGTAATCAAGATCTATTCTTATGTAATTTTTAAATAAAATAACATTTAAACCAGTTCATTAGTCATTTCCTGGAACCATCCAATAAGAGAATCTACCATATATATAAGCAGATTTTAATTTGTCTAAAAGATATCTTATCTTAATTTAGAGCAAATCAATACACCTGGATAAAAACAACGGTATGCTACCACGTGATAATATCACATCAATATATAATTATTCTTAATTCCACCTGCAGAATGGAATGTTTATAACTATATATTCTTTAGTTAACTAAGATTTCTTAATATGGAAATCTGACCGTGCTTTATCCAGTCATATATAATGCTATTAATACATTTTAATTAATTTAATTTAATTAAATGAAACCAGTATAATTACCAGTTGAGTAGATATTTCATCCGATTGGTAGTCTCAGGAACTTATTTGGATGTCTCTCTGCATGGAGGTGTTGGTTAGAAAGTCAGTAAATTCTAAGTGTTAGAGTTTTAGGAGTAGAGTGTTAGTCTCAGATGTTGTCCGAGTTGGAATCCCCAAACTTCCAATTCCTCTCTCCTCTCCTTTGCATCTCCTGCATACCTCAATCTTCCCTTTGTCCTAACTTTTAAAGGGCCAGACTCTCTGTACGTCATCAGTTGATAACCCAATAGAAGCACTAGAGGTGTGGTTATCTTCCGGATCGCAATTTAGTTATTTGGTCTATAGAGGGCAGTCTTGTCCCACTAAACATACCTATCCAGGAAAGAGTTAACTTTTCCTGGTGGCTATTTTGACGTCATTTTGGCCTGTCTAGATAGTGGCCATAATTTAAAATTTCAAAGGGTTTCTTAAATTTTGTCCAGACTTAGCGTCTGCAATTCCTGCCATAATTTCTGATATGGCAGATCATGAACTAAGTTTACCCTTTTCCATACAATGGTACCTTATATGTATAGACAGTTAAATTGTATTATTTAATCTTCTCTGTCACAATTGTCTGGGTTTAGAATTGATTATATTCTTCTTATCACTTGTTTATACTATGCATTCCTTTTAGCTCTGGCAAAGTGGCTAGTCTTACAGAAAGAAATCTTGTGTCTTTTTGTTAACTTGAAATAACAAAATGGAGTCTGGTCTGTTCAGAGTGACTCAGAATATACACTTTTAGTTTCTATCATAGCACAAAATGTCTGCCGATATAAATACCCTGACAGGATCAATCCACCCAAGCTGTCGTCACGGAGCAGTTGGTCTGCTCTGGTTTTATAAGTACATTCTTTTATTATTTTATCAATATTGCTATACAGTGAGCACTATTGGCTGTCTCTTTTATTTCGAGAAACTGGACACCTACCACAGAGAGGAACCCATCTATATCCCATAAGCGGGGATTAAACTGCCGTATGCGCTTTATTCCAGAGCTAGGACATTAGCTCTGACAAATGTGAGTTTTATATTATTATTTCTTCACATCCATATTAGAACTCTACATACTACACTATTGGTTGTCCTCCTCTCTCTTTTTATCTTTCATATAAGTGAACTCACTACAAAGTAGAAGACGTCACCAGCAAAGACTGTCTGTAAGGACAATAATATTGGACTTTTCCTTCTTTTCAATTGGACTTTATTTATATTTTATTTATTTTTTATTTCAATTTTATCTGTGTGCGCAGCCTTTTTTTATTTGTTCTTATTTTATCTAAATTAAAAGGGTTTGACGGATCCCCTTTTAAAGGTTGCTGCTTATAAGTTATTTAGCGCTGTCTTTCTCTTTTCCTTGTTACCATATTTGTAGGATCGCCTGGTGCCATCCGCTACAGGAGCCATCCTCGACCGCATCAGGGAGGCAGGTCTCACGTTAAAACCCAGCAAGTGCCACGTAGGGATGGCCGAAGTGCAGTACTTAGTCCACAGGGTGGGCAGTGGGCAGCAAAAGCCAGAACCCGCTAAGATAGAGGCCGTAGCTAAGTGGCCAACCCCTTGCACGAAAACTCAGGTTTTAGCTTTTCTAGGGACCGTCGGGTATTACCGTAAATTTGTACCTAATTATAGTACCCTAGCCAAGCCCCTTACTGACCTCACCAAAAAGAACTTACCCAAAGTAGTGACCTGGAGCCCAGAGTGTGAGAAGGCATTCCAAGAACTGAAAACTGCCCTAATTCATGCCCCTGTACTGGCCGCTCCCAATCCAACTAAACGCTTTCTCGTTCATACAGATGCTTCTATGTTTGGATTGGGAGCAGTGCTGAGCCAAGTTGGGGCCGATGGCGGCGAGCATCCAGTCGCTTACTTAAGTCGGAAACTACGACCCAGGGAAGTAAGCTATGCCGCCATCGAAAAGGAATGCCTGGCGGTGGTGTGGGTCCTCAAGAAACTACAGCCCTACTTATATGGACAACAATTTGCCTTGCTCACAGATCACAACCCGTTTGTGTGGCTAAACCGGGTGTCAGGGGACAACGCTAGACTACTGAGATGGAGCTTGGCACTACAACCATTTGATTTCACCATCCAGTATCACCCAGGGAAACAAAATGGTAACGCCGACGGGTTGTCCAGACAGACAGAACTCGAGAAATGATCTGTGAGCACTCCTCCGGACATCCCCAAGCAGATCCGTTGGGATCAGACTGTGTATGCCAGCTTGGTTCTGGGGGAGCATTGTGGCAGAAGCAGCCACAAGAGACTTTTGCATTGATTATTGCCTGTATTTGAACTGTATGTTATTTGAGCATAGTGGATTTTATTAGACTGGTTCTGGCCCTTTAAATGCTCTGACAAAGGATCTGCAGTTTTGCTATGCACTTCGGATGCAGAGTGTGAAGAAAAACCCTGTTTTATGGACTTAGTTTGAATGTTTTATTCCCCTCCCTCCTTTAAAAACCTTTAATAACTGTCATATTTTAAAACGCTGTCTGTCTTTAACTGTCAGTTTGTTTTCCTCTGAGGAGGAGTTGTTTTTGCTGCGTGAGTGCTGTTGCTTGGTGTGCTCATTAAACAGACCTGCTTGACCCTTTCTTGAAGCCTTGGCTCATGATTGGGGGATGGGATAAGTCTGCAATGCTGATGGTGTCGGTTGGAGTGCTTGGAGTCCTCGGCAACCACTAGGAGCATCGATTGACGGAGGTACTCGGTCGGAGTGCCAGCGGGTCCGTCACAAAACCCATAAAAGCTGTAGATGAGGGGTACTGTTATACTCGGAAGACTTCGCTGAACACAAATATTAGTGTTCCAAAACAGAAAAACTTATCACAACAATTATATTGTCCGTGTAAGTGCCATTTGTGTGTGAAAATGCAACAAATTTCACTTTCACTGACGATTTCATTGTTGTAATTTTTACTGTTTTGACACACTAATATTTGTGTTCAGAGAAGTCTTCCGAGTAAAACAGTACACCCCATGTACCGGTTTTATGGTGTCTTATAAAGTTACAAGGTTAAATATATTGCTAGCAAATTAAATTCCCTGGACTTTCGGCCTGGGTTGTCAGGCAGATTCCGGAAATTGTAATTAATAAAATGACCTAATTATGTACAATTATTACATAAATATATATGTAGAATTATTATTATTACATATATCTATATGTAATGTTTTTATTTATTTATAGTTGTATCTATATAGTGATATATACGCATATATATATATATATATATATATAATTTCATTCTACTTCTATTTTGATATCATATATATATATATATATATATATATATATATATATATATATATAAAAAAAAACTTTAAAATACAGTAACGAAATTACACATATTTTTATTTATTTTTTTATCATTTTTTTTATGTAATTTTGTTAGGTCTTTACATATTTATTTATTTTATATAGAAACATAGAATGTGACGGCAGATAAGAACCATTCGGCCCATCTAGTCTGCCCAATTTTCTAAATACTTTCATTAGTCCCTAGTCTTATCTTATAGTTAGGATAGCCTTATGCCTATCCCACACATGCTTAAACTCCTTTACTGTGTTAACCTCTACCACTTCAGCTGGAAGGCTATTCCTTGCATCCACTACCCTCTCAGTAAAGTAATACTTCCTGATATTATTTTTAAACCTTTGTCCCTCTAATTTAAGACTATGTCCTCTTGTTGTGGTAGTTTTTCTTCTTTTAAATATAGTCTCCTCCTTAACTGTGTTGATTCCCTTTATATATTTAAATGTTTCTATCATATCCCCCCTGTCTCGTCTTTCCTCCAAGCTATACATGTTAAGATCCTTTAACCTTTCCTGGTAAGTTTTATCCCGCAATCCATGAACCAGTTAAGTAGCCCTTCTCTGAACCCTCTCTAAGGTATCAATATCCTTCTGAAGATACGGTCTCCAGTACTGTGTACAATACTCCAAGTGAGGTCTCACCAGTGTTCTGTACAATGGCATGAGCACTTCCCTCTTTCTACTGCTAATACCTCTCCCTATACAACCAAGCATTCTGCTAGCATTTCCTGCTGCTCTATTACATTGTCTGCCTACCTTTAAGTCATCAGAAATAATCACCCCTAAATCCCTTTCCTCATATGTTGAGGTTAGGACTCTATCAAATATTCTGTACTCTGCCCTTGGGTTTTTACGTCCAAGATGCATTATCTTGCACTTATCCACATTAAATGTCAGTTGCCACAATTCTGACCATTTTTCTAGTTTACCTAAATCATTTGTCATTTGGCTTATCCCTCCTGGAACATCAACCCTGTTACATATCTTCGTATCATCAGCAAAAAGACATACCTTACCATCAATATATATAATAAATAAATATATATATATATATATATATATATATATATATATATATATAAATATATATATATATATATATATATATTATATAAAATCAATATCATTGCACATGTTCTTTTATATATATATATATATATATATATATATAAACATTATATATATATATATATATATAAACATGAAATCCCTGCACTCAGACTCAAAAAGATTACATACCGGGTGCTTGTAGTCCTAGGGAAAAATCAGATATCCACATAGCAACAGGTGACCAGCACTCAAAGTGAGGTGAGTGCTGGTCACCTGTTGCTATGTGGATATATATATATATATATATATATAAATATATTAATACTAAAATATACTTAGGCAGTGTATGTGTATTTATGTGTATGTGTGTATATTATTATTATTATTATTATTTATATAGCGTGTAACGGACCGTTTTGCCCAAAAGAGGTTAAAAACCGTTTAGGCGATATTCCCCTTTTTCAGCTGCACCGACAGCTACTGCAAGCACCAATCTCCTGAACTGCAAACCCACAAATTCACCAACTCCCTTACTGCAACCAAGGGAATACTTGAAACTCCCGCACTGCATACCAAGGGAATACTCGAAACTCCCGCACTGGAGACACACGAATAGCTGCTAGCAGACGAACAGGAAAAGCCCCCAAGCGGCTTACACTCCTGGCAATCAGTCTCTAACAGCATACAGCAAATCCTCCCCCAATAATGAGACAACACTTCACTTTGAGGGTTAAGCAGGAACAACACTGATTTATTCACACAACAGACTTATAAAGGATTCTCCCATGCAAGGGAGGGATTTACAACAATTACACAATACACCAATCACACATGAGTTACCTCCCACAATGCCTCACAATCCCTGCCCTCTGGCCTGGAGATAATTGGGGAAGGAATCTAATTATCTCCCAGGACAGAGACAAAACTCCATTACCCACATGGCAGACAAAAAGACAGTAAAAGACATAAAATTACATACTGATACATTTAGTACATAAAACACACATTTCTACATATCCCCAGATAGCTTTGATCTGAGCGCACATTAGATGAATGGCACTCAGATCACACGAATAAGCCTTTCTGCAGGGAAAATAAATGGTTTAACCTGCAGGGCCATAGTCGAAAGGGAGCAGGGGAGCAACCAGGCTTCTCCAGTTCACAGTGGCGAGGTTGGTTTCACCACATAGCGCCAACAAATTCTGTAGCACTGTACAATGGGTGGACTAACAGACACATAATTGAGATCAGACCATTGGACGTACAGGAACAGAGGGGGTTGAGGGCCCTGCTTGATGAGCTTACATGCTAGAGGGAGTGGGGTATAGTGACACAAAGGGTTAAAGTAGGGGAATTACATAGTTTGTTGGAGAAGCGTTTATTGAGTGCTTGGTAGGACATTTTTGACAGTTGCAGTAACGGACTCATAGGGTGGGGGATGAGAAACCTGCTGACAGTTTAATTGATACGCTTTAATGAAGAAGTGAGTTTTAAAAGATTTTTTGAAGGAGTGGAGGCTGGGTGAAAGTCTGATTGAGGAGGGAAGGGAGTTCCACAGAATAGGTGCAGCCCTGGAGAAGTCTTGAAGGCGAGAATCAGAGGTGGGGATCTGGGCAGAGGATAGGCGTAGGTCTTAGGCTGAGCGCAGGGGTCTTGATGGGAAATACTTGTGTATAAGGGAGGATAGGTATGTTGGAGCAGCATTATGTAGGGATTTGTAAGCAAGTGCCAGAATTTTGAATTTGGCCCTATATCTAACTGGAAGCCAATGCAGGGACTGACAGAGTATGGGACGTGGGTGGTGCGACCAGACAGGTAAATAAGCCTCGCAGCCGCATTCATTATAGATTGCAGCGGTGCAAGCTGGGAACATGTAAGACCGGTGAGAAGGGGATTGCAGTAGTCAAGGCGAGAGAGAACAACAGCATGAACCAGTACCTTAGCCGCGTCTGGCGTTAGATATGGGCAGATGCGCGCTATGTTCTTGCATTGGAAGCGACAGGATTTGGCTATCGATTGGACATGGGGAGTAAAAAAGAGATCAGAATCAAAAAGAACCCCTAGGCAGCGAGCCAGCGAGGTAGAGGTGATAGTAGCGCAGTTGACTTGGATGGAGACAGACACAGGAGTAGCAGCACTTGAGGGAGGAAAAACTAGAAGTTCTGTTTTGGACAGGTTGAGTTTAAGGAAGTGAGCAGCCATCCAGTTGGAAATAGTAGAGAGGCAGTCAGAAACACGAGTCAAGGAGGGCGGCGAGAGGTCAGGGGAGGACAGGTAGATTTGCGTGTTATCTGCATATAAATGATATTGGAAGCCAAAGGAGCTGATGAGTTTACCAAGGGAGGCAGTATAGATAGAGAACAGTAGAGGGCCGAGGACAGAACCTTGGGGGACGCTGACATAGAGGGGTTGGGGAGAAGAGGCAGAACAAGAGAATGAAACACTCCCTACATAAGGTCAGAAGGGAGGGGGGGTCATATTCCGGCTCCCAGCTACTGTAGACAGCCCGCGCGGCGAGTGGAAGCAGAGAGCACACAGCTCCCTTGCCGCGGCTGAGATGGAGACAGGCGACCGCCCCACTGGACCCCAGGTACAAGTCCACTCCAGCACTTCATGTAGAGAGTATGGGTGTACATTTTTTTTATTAAAAAATAATAATTTGTATGTGTGTGTGTCTGTGAGTGTGTGTGTGTGTCTGTGAGTGTGTGTGTGTGTCTGTGTGTGTGTCTGTGTGTCAGTATATGTGTGTCTGTGAGTGTATGTGTGTCTGTGAATGTATGAGTGTTTGTCTGTGAATGTATGTGTGTGTGTGTGTACGTATACGTGGATATATAGTGGAAAATTTATTCATACTTACCGTAATTTTCTTTTCCTGGCTATTATTCATGGCAGCATATACACATGGGTTAGCTCCTCCCCTACAGCCGATAGGACAGGAAAACCACCAAGGTTTTAAAAGGAGGCTCCATCCCTAAGGTCCTCAGTCAGTTCACAAGCTCTACAGTACATAAAGAGAGACATTAATGGGTGGGAAGTATATGCTGCCATGAATAATAGCCAGGAAAAGAAAATTACGGTAAGTATGAATAAATTTTCCACTTTCCTGGCTAATCATGGCAGCATATACACATGGGGAATACCCAAGCTTACAAAGGGAGGGACAGAATAGCCAATCAAATTATCAGAATAATTCAACATAGATAGAAGAATGAACTGAGTTAAGTACTTGAGTACCAAATTGTGCATCATAGACTGTTTTAACGAACAGTATGAAATGCCAGACAAACGTGTCTAAAAGAGGTTCAAATGCTAGCTTACAAAAAGTGTCAGCAGAAGCCATTGCCATGGCAACCCATGATGCTGCAACAGCATGAGAGGAGAGTGCCCTGATACCCTCTAGCACAGGTAGAGAACGGACGTGACATCCAAATTGTGCCTCATAATTGCTTCAATGTTCAATATGTAATGAATGACAAACTAGTTCAAATGCCAACTTTACAAAGATTCAGCAGAGACCATTGCCATGGAAGCCCACGAGATGCTGTAACAGCACTAGTGGAGAATGCCCCAAATCCTTTGCTACAGGTAGAGAACGGCATTGAAAGGCTCTCACTTTAGGCACGATCACGGATGCTACATGCAAGACAACCATATCCTGTTGAAATTCAGTGAATGGGGGTACACAGGATCAAGCCTGAAGTTCACCCATTTCCCTTGCTGGGGTACCAGCCACTAGCACTTTCTGTGCTACCACCATGGAAGCTCCTTCTAGAGGTTCGAATAATGGTTCAGTCAGGGCCCGTGAGACCAGTGGTACGTCACATATTGGCTTCACCACACTCAGTGGAGGCATGATTTCAATCAATGCCTATATGAAGCAAAGTGCAGCAAGTGCACACATTCACCCTGCTGAGGTACCAATCACCAGCAACGTCTGGACTAACATCATGGAAGCTCCTGCTAGAAGTTCAGTCAGAGTCTGTGAGACCAGTGGTACGTCACATATTGGTTTCAACACCCTCAGCGGAGGCTTGAGTTCAATTGTTGCTTACATGAAGCAAAGCACCAGGGGCATCAACGCTCAATCGGTACCCTTCAGTACAGGTATAGAATGACATAGATAAGCATTCACCATAGGCAGGATTTTCATGTGCCAAATGCAAGACGACCATATCCGTTGAAAAGTAGTGAAAGGGGGTTCACAGGATCAAGCCTGGAGTTCACCCATTTTTCTTGCTGGGGTACCAGCCACCAGCACTTTCTGTGCTACCACCATGGAAGCTCCTACTAGAGGTTCGAATAATGGTTCAGTCAGGGCCCGTGTGACCATTGGTACCTCACATATTGGCTTCACCACACTCAGTGGAGGCATGATTTCAATCAATGCCTATATGAAGCAAAGTGCAGCTAAGTGTTCCTCTAGAGTGTTATAACACAGAACCTTTCAAGGCCTGAACGAGGAGTAATTCCAACAGACAAAAGCATGTCAAGATTAGTAAAGCCTGTATAGGATTGTAAGAGGATCTCAATGACCGTTTCAGGGATGCCTATACTAATATGGACTCCCGCATCAACACCAGAACTTGAGGATCCTGGTGTCTCATGGGGCCTTGTAATATGTCTGGACGTACAGGAATTTCCCTTGGAGGTTCCAGAATAATCTTATTCATCATAAGAATTAGAGTCGACACGGTCTTCCACTGTCACCTTTTGCACTGCCTTTTTAAGAAGGTCGAAAACAGGAAAATATGTACATCAGACTAAAATTCTAAATTTGAGCCAGTGTATCCTGAACCTGAGCATTCTGGTCCTAGCATGTAAAAAATACTTCTGGACCTGGTAGTTCCAAGAAATGGCCATCAGATCTATGTAGGGTATCAGACAATCTGCGTCTACCACGAGGATACGTCAGGACATGGTTGCCAATCCACCTTGTCCACAGTTATTCGGCTCCAGCAAACAGCCATGGTAT